CGGGCCAGTGTATCTGTCCTCCAGGATACCGCGGCGCTCGCTGTCACAGAGGTCAGTGAAATCACTGCTGATAACCCCAATGTAATAACAGGATTACTGCCAGTGTTGTGCCTAATTTATCCTCTTTTTCAACATGTTCTTTCCCGTCCCCTCTCAGTGTGTGAGCAGGGTACGTACGGACACGGCTGTGCCGAGGTGTGTGACTGTGAGGACGATGCTCCATGTGATCCTGAGACAGGAAGATGCCTCTGCTCCTCAGGGAAGACGGGTCTCAGATGTGACATCGGTAAACTTCTATCCCTTTTCTAACTTTGAGAACACGCACGCACACACACTGCGAGGTGCAGACCAGAGTGACGCAGTCCATGAAAATGAAAACATGCTGCTTAGCTCCTCTCCAGTGCTTTAAAAAGGTGAAGGGGAGATTTACAAGCTGTACGTTCACAGGGAAGCATTTTGAATTTCTTAAGTCTGTGAGGGTAAAATGAGGAATTAGACTTTAAACTGTTTTATAATCTAACTAGGATATATTTGTTCTTAAAGAAGTGGCTTTTAAGAGAAAAAAGAGCTGGAAACAACCCCAGAGACAACCCTGATGAAGGCAGTTTAGCTAAGAATGTTTTACTGGAGGAGTTGTGTGACGTTGTTGACCTACCTACCCTTTTAAAGGAACAGTCAGACATTTTGGGAAATTTGGTTTCTAGCAGAGTTAGATGAGACGATCAATATCACTCTTTATTTTCTGTCTCTTACCATCAACAGCTGGTTAGCTTAGCTTATGAATACTGAAAACAGGGAGAAAAAGCTTTTTAATTTGTACAAATAAAAGTAATTTGTACAAATTTAGTAATGAGCTTTAGGTGGATTTGTTGTAGTCTTTATGCTAAGCGAACCAGCTGCTGACTATAGGTTCATATTTATATAACCATATTTCCCACATTGTCAAACTATTCCTTTAAAAGTAAACTGATCTCATTTGTTTAAACGGTTCATTTGTGTGTGACGTCAGACTGCAGAGCAAATCGTTACGGCCCGGACTGTGCAGAGACCTGTGAGTGTGAGAACGGGGCGCAGTGCAACCGACGCAACGGCCGCTGCGGCTGCCCGCACAGCTGGATCGGACTCTCCTGTCAAGAAGGTAAAGTAACGAAGAACCAGCGTGAGTGACACACATGCATCCCCCCGCTGTCTTTACAGATATGTTACTTCATCATTACATCCCCACGGAGTCTTGAGTCAGACCAGCAGTGACATTTCAGCTGAGTTGGTGAAATAAGAGTAAAAAACTAGTGTAAGTGCTGACAGCGTTCAGGTAGTGTCCACAGTCTGCAGAGGCTGCGCTTTCCCTTCAGTGTCTTCGTCGTTCTAATCAAATGTGAATGGACTCACAGCTCTTTGTGTGCCTCTCCTCAGGTGGACCTCCGCGCCTCACCTACGGCAACAGCAGAGGAGACTCACAACATGACAACTCATTATAGCACCACCATCGAGCTGGAGAGACTCCAACTGGAACCGGGACAGATCAACTACATTTTACTGAAGTGACTCAAGTGAGTGAAAGCTTGTGACAGGAAGTTGTAGCAGGCAGCTCGAAGACCTTCATGGGAATAGACTCTCTGATGAGAACTGCAGTTTCATGATTGGACCTGAGCTGGATGGATACTTTTTGGACTTTTTTTTCGCGTGCCAAAGTGTCCTTTTGAACTGTTCCAGCCTGTTTCATCAGCCTGAACTCACTGGTACATGACGTGATTTTTCTCTTGCGATCAAAGTGGACCATCGAACATCTTTTTAGTCTTCACGATTTAAAAATCGCTCCTCAAAAACTATGTCCGCTGAGTGCAGTGTCAGGAGATTGTAGATGTGTTTACTGCACTTTTGGTGTTTTATGTTTATTTTTGTCCTTGAAATGCCTTTTTGCAGGAACTGTATATAAAATAATCTCTAATTTTTTTTAAGGAACTTGGTGATATTGCTGGATATGATGCAACCTCTGACACTGAGGCAACGTTTTAAAACCGTCTGAAGTTGTGTTTCAGTCTATACAATATGAAGTACTACCCTCGGTCCAATGGTGCTTTAATGTACAATGCAACAAGACTAATGCTTTTATAGTACAATATCACTGTAAAGCCCATTCCTGCTGACTAAATGTGCCTTAAACAGACAGTAGTTCACTAAACATTACACAGCACAAGTTCATTTGCATTTTCTCCAAGGTTAAGTGTCTATATATTTTCTTTTGAATTTTTGTGTATAAATTGCTTCATATTTATATTTCACAGTTGTATACAATTGAATATAACACAAGTTTAAAATGCATCCTTGTTTTTCACTCGGAAAAAAGACTCCAAATCCAAATCTAGTCCAGTGAAACAACCCAGAAAGAGATTTTACACATGAATGGCAATAAAGACAGACACGTAAATGTTTGTTTACCATTCTTATTTATCATTATTTCATTTTCATTGAAGATCGAAGCTGTACATCCTGTCTAAATTCAGATTCAAGCACAGTGCAGATAGCAACGCCTGCAAAAGAAAATTAAAAAAGAAAAAGAGAAAAGGCAGAGGTGATCACAACCAGAAATATATATACAAAGGTCAAACTATGTACAGGAGATACCAGGCTCTCACTACGTCATCTTCAGAGTGAAGTCAGTCCACTGTTTGCATTCAGTTCAGAGCATTCCTCATAATGCATACACAACACAAAAAAATTGCTTCTTTATGTCAGTCTTAAAATCGATACAATACTGATAGGAAAATGCAGCATGATGGAAAAAAATAAAAACAGTTCTTTTGATTCTCTCTACTGCATTAAAGGCTAAAACATAAAAAATATATTCTCTGTATAACCTAGAACCTTCTGTAAAATAAGCTCTATCCATTTGTGGTTCTGGTTTCATTTCTGAATTAGTCATTACAATGTTAGAACAGCAGATATGATGAAACTAGGACCACTTAAAACATGAATCTCTTAAATCCCTTAAAAACAAGTTATTTCTACAATGTGCAGAAACCTTTCAACACCACAGGATCTGTGTTGGGCAGGTCAGCACGGAGTGAAATAACACTGATGGTCAAACTGAATGCACAGCAATAGTTTAAAAGGACATATTTGACATTTTGGGAAATACACTCATTCACTGTCTTGCTGAGAGTTAGGTGAGAAGATTGATATTGCTCCTGCAGAAAAAGACTGGCTCTGTGCAAAGGGTAACAGTCCACTTACCAGCATAATTAAGATGTTATATCTTATTTTTAAATGTTCAAAATTACATGTACAAACAAAAACAAAGTGCTGCACGGCACAAAGTCACATAAACTGTTATTTTCTTATTTGCACAAAGCTAACTAACAATCTATTAGCTAGCTCGTGAGCACAGATATGCCCACAGGAGGAGAAGTGGTGGAGGCAGGGTGGGGAGATTCGTTGGCTGCCAGTGGATCTTCATGGTTAGGGCTTCTGTTAGTTAATGTTTAGGTGTTAGCAGAGATAACTGGTTGGGTTCAGGTTAAAGTAAGGGGGAACAGACTGATGGAGTTTTTGCCCACCTGGATTAAACAAACGAGATGTAACGTGTTAATTCCTGAACTTCAGTTTGCTGGCTGCTGACAGACGTTAGCGTCAGCTGTGTCTTCAGCAGACAGATATGAGCGTGGTATCAATCTTTTAACTCTCAACAAGAAAGCAAATAAGTGAACTTTTTCCTTTAAGTCTCAAACTTTCTCTCCACTCCCTGCAGATGAAAATATTAGGACACAGGAACTCCACAGACTAAATAAACAAAATGTTCTTTGCTCATCTTTTTTTACCCTCTTATTGAAAAAAAAAAAAGATCGGCTTGCGCCAGTTTTATTCACTCGGACACAGCAAATCAAACGTATACAGGGATCAATTTATACAACAGGCTAAAGCAAGGGATTAGTAAATTGTCCCTCCCTCCCTCCCTCCCCCCCCCCCCCCCACACACAGGATCAACAGCAGAGACATTAAATCATTTTGCTGTTAAAAATGACCGAGGACGAGTAACGAAGCAGACTGTAAACCTCATCTGCACAAATCCCTCGCAGTAACGCTCACTTCGATTATCCCCTCCGCTTCAACTGAGACGCACCTACATCTCATTCGTGTCCTCATTCGCACCAATATGACAGTTTTCTTTCATCGGTTTTTTTAATTTATTTTTTCTGCTAAGAATCAATAGTTTATCAGCTGTTAGTAAAGATTTGTTATCTACACGTGTTAGTAAGCGGAGTAGCATCACCTTACTCGACCCGTAGGTACTGTAGGCTGGGTGAAGAGGGTCCATGCTTTGAGAATGTATCACATGCTATCCACTTGTGCTTTAATCACAGTAGGAGAGCACCCAAAGGAGAAAGAATGATATAGGTGGTGTCAAATTTTGCGATAATACTTCTGACACGTCTCAGGTCGTATGATGCCTGAAACGAACCTTACCGATCCTAAAGCAAGTAGCTGTACTACGCATTCTGTATATGAAGGACGTTATTTGTTAACTAGTATAACAGCATTGTCAAGTAAAGATATATATGGAGTAAAGTCCATAGATAGATAACAAGCTTGACAGCACATGCGTCAAAATGAGTTCTATAATCTTGCAAGAAGTGAGAGTGAAACCGTGTTGTCAAAGAGAGATGAAGATGAAGAAGATCTTTGGCTCAAGCCACGCTAAAATGTCACTGGTCCTCGCCAGTGTCCACACACGAAAGAAAGACAGACGAGTAAATACAACCTCCTGACCATGTGCACGCCAACACACGACTAAAACCACCTGCTCTGTTCCCTGAGCTGCTGCCACTCACTCATTAGCTGGACACACACACACACACACACACCATCTCTTCCTCGCAAAACAAATGCCACTTCCACCAGTCAGCGTTCCCGTATATTCTGGGCACATGAGGCCAGTCGGCTAAAGGGGGGCAGCCGTCGAGCTGCTCGTCTACGCCAAAGCCCACAGCACAGCCTGATGCAACTGTAAATAAGGCAAAAATACTTGAACACAATTTGATCAAGGAGAAGTTTCCATGAGATGTGGATCCAGCACTGATATAAACCACTTCCTGTACAGTAAATCCTCAGCCTGAAAACAGAGGTTGGGTAACACAGTGAACTCTGCATTGGATTTTAACACGACTGCAGCTCCTACCATTAAGGAGGAGTAAATAGACTCGACTCTTCAGTGGGAGACCAGTTACCCTGACACATCGGCTCGTCATCACGGACGGTTCACTGGTCAGGACGCAGGAGAAGCCTCTCCTCTCATCTTGACCGCCACCGCCACACTTAGATAGCAGGAGCATCGGGCTGGACAAATGTACCGCCAGTGAAGACACAGAGGGAGGACGAGGAGAGGGAATTATCAGGAGATATGATTCTATAGTGCAATGGCTGTGAGATAAGACTATTGTAATACCCATCCTCTCCCCTCCTTTAAAACTACCCTCCAACATCTATACTGACAATATTAAAGTGCTGATTGTTAAAGCCCACGAGAGGGCTCGTACACCGATTAATGTCGACAACACAAACAGTTTTTCAGAGAAACCTTGACGGACTCGGTACAGTACACACGTGTTTGTAAACAGAACGTCCAAGGAACAAATGCATGGCTATGGTACATGTGCAACAGAGTAGTTTGCGTATATTCATACAGTATGAACTTAATCTTCCTTTTAGTTGCATTCAGTTTTAGAAAAAAAAAAGCAGAAAAAAAAAAATCTGGCTGCCAAGCAAGCGTGTGCTTATTTTTTTTAAAAAGATATTTTTGTCTACGGTTTTAAAATACGTTCAGCTGAATTGAATGTATAACTGATTTAAGTATGAGCGCATATCCCTAACCTCTCTTCCACTTACGTCTTTCTTTGTCAATCCCTTCCTTTTCCTGGTGACTATTTTTTCTTATCTTATCCCCGTGACTCTAAATGAGGTGCCCTGGGTGGCCTTGGTGTGGCCAGACTCATGCGCCAGGGTCTCACTCAGTAAAAGCTCAAGCAAACAGAGGATCAGGCAAAGGTGGGGCGCTGCGGCTGCAGCCCTGGTGCAGCCCTGCCGGGCGGGGCCGCACTGCGCGTTAGGAGCGGTAGTCCTTTTTACTGTACGGCTTGTTCCCCAGGATGCTGTCCACCTCGTGTGTGATGGACGACGACAACTTCGGAAGAACCTGTGATGGGATAGAGACACAATGGGTGAATATGTTCGCTTCACTTATGTTTACTGTCAGCGGTACTTTCAGTGGTTTTGGTCTTTTGGTCCTTCAGAAACTGTCTGCAGTTGCACATCAAAGCCTCTAGATAGCGCTGAAGGGTGACTTTATTTCATCAATGATGCGACTTCCAGTCTGAAACTTTTAGCTGTGTGTAAAAGTGTAAATAATCTAAAGTTTATTTAATTTGTTTTCAATCCTGTGGGTGGTTTTAAAATTAAACATATAAAATAAAGTTTTTTTGTACCTTCATTGAGTACCACATTGAGCTGATTTGTTGGTGTAAATTATTACACTTTACACAGCGGAGGAAGAAGGACTCAGATAGTTTACTGAAGCAGCAATAAGCACAAAGTTAAAATACTGCATTAAATGTTAAAGTCCCTTCAAAATTTTAACTTGTTATTTATTAGCAAAATGTACTAATATTGCAGTAAAAGTCGTCATTACACAGCAGTGATGTTATTATACTTTACTGTAATTTCCTTCTATAGAATCCACAAAATAGTTTCAAATAGAAAACAGTTTAATTTTGAAGATGTAATTAAATAAACTATAACCATGTAGAATATATAAAAAAGATAATTTGTTCTCTAATTTTCTCTTCAAACAGTGTAGATATTAAATAAAAAAATAAGTCCTTTCATGTTGACTTGTGTGTCTATTTCAGGGTCTATGATGTAAAATTCCCATTAAAAGGAAAAATATGGAGCCCTCGGGAAATGTGAGCATAGCATTTCAAAACCGAAATATCAAATGTACTAAGGGAGAGGAGACGTATATTGTGTACATGTCTAGTATACTAATGTGTCCACACACACACACACACACACACACACACACACACACACACACACACACACACACACACACACACACACACACACACACACACACACACACACGGGGATACACAAAGCATCAGAATAGGGGAGAGCAGGAATGCTCTTTACTGCAGGCCAGACATAATGTGAGGAGAGGACGTAAACCCCCACCGGTCTGAAAACCCCATTAAAGGAGTGCATCTTATCAGGAGAGGAAGAAGTGGCCGTAAGCCTGTCTCCAATCCCCCTGGCAACTGATACTCCGCTGACCTTATTAACTCGGTACAGTAAAGCACCCAAGCGTGCAGCAGCAAACTGCCCAAGAGGCCGAGCTGTGCCCAGGAGAGGAGGCTGCCGTTACGGCACGAAGACAGGCCCCGATGAAACGGGTCAGGTCACATTTTCACAAACACTGATTTGCTCTGCAGGACAACAAACACACGTACACGCACACACTCTTTTTGTGGACTCACCTGTATTGCTCCTATGTTCTCCATCAGCTGGTCGGTGTTGGACGCCCCTAAAAGGACAGAGCTCACCCCCTCGTTCCGTAGGCACCACGCTGCAGGAGACCAGTAAACAGCAATGACACCCCAACCACCACTATGGACACACATACACTCACACAACACAACCCTGATTCACACAAAAACACACTGCACCAATTATCACAACAACCACACAAACACACAGCAGATTGATTTTCTGTTTAAATACATGTCAAATGCAAATCCCTTCACGACTAAAACATCCTGGAAACTACTGCGAACATTTCCTGTCCACAAATGAAATATGACAGATTTATAGCTGCCCACAAACATACTCACATCACACTCACCACATCCTTTACATACCATAATATAAAAATACTCCACTACAAGCAAATATTATCAGTTAAAAGTACTCGGTACATTATCACATATTACTACTGAATTAACATGTAGCATTTTAATGGTAAAGACGGTTCAGAGGATACTATATATATTCTATATACTGTTGGAGAGTTTAATCTATAACTGTATTTTATACAAATGGATCACTTTTTTTATATATTATATCTTAATCTGCTAAATTAAGAAGAAACAGAATTTTAAAATGACAGTGAATCCTAATCTAATAGGCTCAATATCTGTATCCCCATGTCAAATGAATGTAGTGCAGTAGAGGTATAATGTAGAATACAGTGGGAATGTTCAAGGACATATATTCCCTTCAGTACAGTATCTGAGTAAATGTTAAATTCCCATACTGCACTCTGCTTATAATAGGCAGGAAACACCTTTTTTGTGATCTCTCTGTACAAGCTGACACAAAAAGCTCATATGTTGCTTGTAATTGCGAGCTGCATTATGCAATACAACTGAGTGCTTTTGCAATTGAAAAAAGTTGTAAACAGATTACAGCATAAAGGGATGGAGAATCTTTCTGTAAAAATAGTGGGATTATGTTTCTACATCAAAATCTTCCACCAACGTGGGAATATGGCCAGAAGTGACAACAGTTAAAGGTCTTCCACAACATCTATTAACTCTACTCTTCCTCTCACAATCTCATTGTTTCCTGAACTCCTCAGTATAAAGCCCAAGGCAGGAAAGGAGTGTGTCATTGTTGTATAGTTTTTATCCAATACTGGAGTGCCACAGTGATGTAGAGGACTACATGGTGGACATTAATCTCCTGTGCTGCCTTCAGGAGTGCTGGAAGGATTTATGGTAATTGGGAGAGATGAGCGTGTCCGCTAATGGGCCGTGAAACCTAATCTATGACACCGCATTACTGCGAGGGTGAAAAATCTGCCGTGATCTGTGCAGAGATAGGAGAGGGAGTCCCAGATTTACTCGCTGCGTCCCTAATGTCTGACGCTTTAACAGCCCTCGCAGGAGTGTGCATATTTGGGGTTTGCACATTCTCACTTTCCTTCCCGGCAGCAAATCGATATCGGTCACTCGACGGATTTATGTCTGCGATGCTATTTTAGTGCTGACACTGGAAACTGTTAAATACATTTTAACACCATGGACCTGCATAAACAAATATATACACTGTAAACATGTTTGCATTCCTTCTGTTGATATTTACATTACTGCCTTAATGTAGGTCCGGTGCCAGATTCTGTTTATTAATGTTAGTGCAATCTCTACTGGGCTCTGAGAAACAGCGAGCAAGGTTATAGAGGAGCTTGTGTCCATTTAAAACACTATTTACCTTTTTATTTTCTTATTCTCAATTTCCTACTCGCTTTCTCTCCATTAATATCTTAAAAAAAAAAAAACTACAGTTGTTACAGCCCAGACAAAGACACACATGACAACACAACACACCAACAGTCAAACAGACAGCTGCGACAGCGTCGCTGACCTCGGGCCCGTCCGAGGCAGAGGGACGGACAGACAGACAGAAAGAGAGAGAGCGGCAGAGTGTATCTGCGTACCGATGGCGAGTTGGGGCAGAGTGCAGCCCAGCCGCTCCGCGATTGCCTGCAGCTCTTTCAACTTCGCCTGCTGACGCCGGCCCTCCTCGCTCAAGATCTTGTCCTTCAACCACTGGTAACCCTGTCGAAAACACAGCACACCTGCTCAAAAACACAGCCCTGCTCACACCGCTGCGCCGCAGCTCCTGTGTCACCAGGGCCTGTTTTTAAACAAGTGACTCTGTCTCCTGCTGTCTACACCTCAGCCAGGCAAACACAGCTAGAGCTACGCTTACTGAAGTATTTAGTTCATAGTTATTATTATAAAGTTACAAACATTAAAGGAAGAAGCATTTTCTATTTAAACTGAAATTATATCTGTTAGCTCAGCTGTGTCACAACAGTAATCTTTATATAGTATCGAGGATTATGAATAACACCATAATGCCATTAGTAACAAGTTAGATACCAGTAAGGATAATCGCTGAGTTTAAAGAGCCAAAATACCACAAACATCCACAGGCAACACTGAACCAAACAGGAAGCAGCACATTCCACACGTCATCATAAGTACTGCACAACACCAACATGGAAAGCTAGTTTCATGAAACCAGGAGCGGTCTAATCGACAGTCACTGACACACAATCCACAGATACACAACATGCCACTCCACTACACGGACACATCATTGCATTAAGTCAGGTGTTAGCTTCTGGGTAATGCAGAGGTTGAGTTGTCTTGGACTCATTTTTGTTCAAATGTCAAAATCTCTAACATTATTTGACATCATGTGTAATCTGTGGTTGCCGAAAGTCAAATATTCCTCTGGGTTTCTGAGTGCTCACTGAATAAATAAATAATTAAAGCTGCCTCTCCTCCTCATTAATGTTCAGTTACGGCTGTGTAGTTCCCTTATGCTTAGAGGAAAACAAAACTGAACCTAGGTCACATGAGATGTCTAGAATAAAGCTGGATGGCTTAATGATTCATCTACCAATTTAATTATTTAATTTTAGTTCAAAAAGTGTTGTTATCTACAGTGTCAGTTTAAATAAATATGTACACATGCTGCACTGCTATTGTCCTACATGTATGCATTCGTGTGCATGCACTAAAATGACAACAGCTGGCAAACGGTGTCAAACAGCGCTGCATGGGAAGAGGAACACAGTGCATGGAGTCAACATGGCACTGAACACACACAGATAAATGGGGTGTGCACAAAGTTACAGAACCTGAAAGACACAAACACACAGTCAAACAAACAACCAGCAACCAGTAGGGAAACACAGAGACAAAAACAGCGACACAGGCACAGATGATCAGAGCGGGATAAAGACAGACAAACAGAAGCGAGCATGGTTCATCTACCTTCAGAGAGGCCCGAGAGTACGGAGGCACCCTGCCGTCGTATTTCCCCGAGATGATCCCACAGGCAAGTGGTGACCACGTCATGGCCCCCACACCTGAGGACGAAAACATGTGATCACAGTCATCACTGACACCATGACTCGCTTCCCCAAGGAGCTGTAGTCCTTATTTTGTCATTGGAAGAAAAACGATCCTGGCAACTCCAGGTACAAAAGTTTCTTTCTGTGAAGCGAGAGGCTTTTTAAAATGTATTTTAAGAGGTTTTTGTTGACTTGATAGTGGCGTCAGAAAGGACTTCTGTGTCATCTTGTTTGTCACTCAAGTCACACACTGCTAATTGTATAATTTGTGTGACAACTTACACAAGACAAACCCATTTAAATCTGGACGAGCTCATTTAGTTTTACATGCACAGTGACACAGAACACTGAGCCTGGCATAGCCGGACAGAAACTGAGTGGATTTGTATCTATTCACATTTGCGAGATGTATATACATACAGGATGCTCTTTTTGAAGCTGTGGCTGGAAACCTAGCTTGTCTTCTGGCTTGTGTGTCCGTATGCCACAAAGAACAGAGATCTTTGCATTTAAAGGTCCAGTGTGTAACATTTAGGCAGATTTATTGGCAGAAATGTAATATAGTGTTGATAGGTATGTTTTCATTAGCATTTAATTACCTGAAAATGAGAATGGTTATGATTTCATTACCTTAGAATGGTTAGTTTTTATTTACAGACGCCAAAGGTCACCTTCCATGGAGTCCGCCATGCTGAACTGCCATGTTTCTACAGTAGCCCAGAATGGACAAACCCAACCCTGGTTGTAGATAGGGCATTGAGTGTTGCATGTTTCATGGTCACTAAGGTTCCTCCTACACACTTCTGAAACTTCACTGCTAGATGCTACTAAATCCTACAGACTGGACCTTTAGGACTCTGCATTGTTTGTACAGAATTTCCAATATACTGCAGTAATGCTACTGTACCTTAAAAGAAGCCCATAACCCAATTCTCACAGTCACAAATCCATCGCTGCTCACCTATCTTGTGGAAGAGCTCAGGTAGCTGCACCTCCACCTTCTCTCTCTGGAACATGTGGTACTCAGCCTGCTCACAGATGGGAGGAATCTGGTTGAATTGACGCGCCACAGAGTACGCTTCCTAAAGGAAAACATGGGAATAAACAAGATCAGGCTCACAGAACAGCGCTACATATACAGTATAAAGAACATCAAGAACAGGAGAAGGTATGATACAGCAAGGTCAGGAAAAATTTAAATCTTTCTTTGGAAGGAAAACCTCCTTAGGCTATGTTGGAAATGAAGCGTACATCACTGATTCTTTGGACTGTTGTCTACACAGATGCACTGAGTCTCACCATTATCTCCATTGGGCTCCAGCGGGATGTTCCCCAGTACATGGCCATGCCTTGGTTTATCACATGGGTCATTGCTCTGACCGTTTCTGCAAGTAAAAATACAGAAAAATGTTAAAAACACAGTATATGATGAAGTCACAGCGTTGTTTTTACATAATATTATTTTTTCATGCTCACTATAGAGCCTGCTGTACTTTGTGTATCTGAGCGGCTTGTTCTTTATTATCTTTATATGTATTTGTTATCATTTGCAATCCAAATGGCCCAGGCCATTCAGGAGAGAAGTGGAAAAGCTGATTATGTTAATCAGAATGCTGAGTGGTTCATTCTGATGAGGGTGACATCTATTCATAACAAGGTACACTTGAATGACATTCATGTAAAAATCCACAAGAATCTGTCTTTTTTTGTCGGCAACGTGCTGCAGGGGGACATGAAAAGAGCCCAGTGAAATAAATAAGAGACGACAGGCACAAGGCTGACAAACTGGACCACCGTTTATGTTTTTTAACCACAGGAGGATTAAAACATATGTTTGGTTCTATAAAGTGTACACTGGGGATTAGGTTTTTTTCCATTAATGTGTTGACCAATCACAATATTCTGTCAAAACAGCAGTATATTTTATTTAAAGCCATCAGATAGTGAGTTTCATATTACAGCCATATCTGACCCTGTGTGACGGCGAATATAATAACACCCAACTTTCATTTCCGTCTTCAGTGAGGATTCCTTTCATTCTACTGGCGAAAATATCAAGCATGTAATGATATTGATCAGGGTTTCCCAGACAAGATCAGGAGCACCAGAGCTCAATATTACAGGGGTGTGTCGATCCTCAATATTCCATCTATTCACCTTGCTGATGTACTGTTTCTGGAAAGTCTCTGGGACAACAAATCAGCCCTCCTATCATCTAGTGGGTGCTTGGTTTAAGGGGGTTTCTCTGTAAACTGGCAGAACAGCAGCTCAGCTCCTCTTCACCCTGTGTTACTTCCCTTTAGCTACTGCCAGAATAAGATATACCAGATGGTCTAACTGCTGTGGGTTTCAAGACTCAACTCAGAGCTGTCCATGTGAACTGTGTGCAATCTTTAAAAGGGCAGATGGGCAAAAGAATTGCCTCGACTTTTACGTCAGATAACACCAGCTACTTCCAACTAACAAGACACTAAAGTAATGTGTAAGAGCGGGGGCCAGTGAAGCATCAAACTGAAGGCAGGAAGATGACCTCTGAGCGAACTCTAACCCAAAGGGGAACTCTGACACAGGAGCAGATGTATACTGTGAGGCCAGCTGAGCCCACACACAGTTAGCACTCTGCCATTTAAAGGTCTCCAGCATCAGTATCTATCCTCATTCTGACTGTGGAGGTGGAAGCACCAGGACAACATGCAGCATTTAAAAATAGAAATTTCAGTTACAAGAGGTTTGTATATTTGAGTCTTCATATTGCAGTAGTCATAGAGACAGGAAAGAGGCGTGTTTTTTTTTTAAATGTGCAATATGACAAAACATAAGAAAAACATGGTTAAGTGTGTGAGAGGGTTAAAAGGAAATGGGTGATAATTCAAAAGCAATAAAGGTTTAAGTAGAGACAAAATAATTACCTTCCATAGGTGTATTAGGGTCCGGTCTGTTCGCAAACACCACATCGACATAGTCTAACTGCAGTCTTTCTAGAGAGGCTTTTAAACCTAGAAATAAGCACCACAGTTAGTAACAGGGAACTTCTGCTGTGCAACATTATTATGATCAGTCTACATACAGCCACATAAATAATGCAGAGGGTTACTGTACCCATACGTCTTTTTGGCAACCCCAAGAGTTTGTCAGTTATTAAAAATGCAACTTTGATTCCCTTAAGCCAAAGCAACTAATTAGGAAGTATTTTGTTGTTGCAGTGTCAGCATTTAATCCAATAATCTGCAGCTCTGCTACTTACCTTCTATAATGTGTTTTCGGGATAAACCTCTTTCAGTCTCCGCTCTACACAAAAAATAAAAATACATTAAAAAGTGACCTTATGTTATAAACAATCATTTGAAATATGACTGGGCCTGTAATAGAATATCATACAATATCCTTTGTGATATATGATCTAATGAATGTTTCAGCTGTATTGAAAGTACCTGACAACAGATCAGTTTGGATGACACATGATCCCATTACCGGGAGCATCAAACAAGTCGAGAAAAATTATACAGAAGGATCGTTCCTCACTTGGACACACAACCTTAGTAAAAAAGAAGCATCCCAGATAAAACTCACTTTCCGCCCCAGAAGATCTTTGTCGTTATCACTAGACTTGAACGTCTGAAAATGGGAAATGAAAGCACATCTGTTACCACACCTGCCAAACACGGAGAATTCAAGCACAAAAAATATCATGTATTGGAGTTGGTGATATCTAAGGGTTACAGATACTTTTATTTTATATGTATTAACAGCCAGGTTGAAAAGCTCCTCCACATTCTTTGGGTAATCATGCATTTCTATTATTCTTTCAATGTCACACACCCACATCCCACAATAAGTGTGACTGTGCCAGAACTTGGCCAGCGGCAATGAATAAGTGTTGTAGGCGTGACCTGACAGAGCTATACAAATGCCAATCCAGGACCAACAAGGTAGAAGACAAGGCACTAGAAGTTAATCCATTATTCAGCATCTTTGAGGAGGGACACAGGAGTGTGGGCATGGCACGGCTGCCCGCATGAATCTTTCATCTCCCTACCTTACCGTTTCAGTTCACAACACACCTGCTTCCCAATATGTGCAAGGAAGGAGATGATACAAGATTAGGGAGGCTGGCTGGGACGGAAATTAAAAACCACCAAACTCAATTAAAGTGTGCCTCATACCTCCATCCTTTCTTCTTTATGATGTTTCCGAGCACCACCTCTGCCCTGCGAAGCAGACGGGTAGAAGGCATGATTAAATAAAGATAAGGCTTAAAAAGATAAGAGCATTTACACCCGGATGTCTGAGGAATGATTCAAGCCCTAAATTAAAGAAAGAGGTCCCAACTCTGCACACATACTGTATAATGCATAAGAGAGCTTTCATTGGAAAGAGCACCTGTTTAGGACTGGTGAGTGTGAATAAGCTGCCAGGTCAGAGTCAGCGGGGCCCGGGCCCAGCTGTGCTGTGGAGGCACCACTATGTCACTCATTAGCAGCCATAGGGGTGCTAATGAGTGACATTACGATCAACATGGGGCTCATTAGGGCTGGGCAGAAACCTGTCAGTAGGATGTCTCTCCAGTCCTCTCACTCTGACAAATAATAAGACACCTCCTTGTAACACAGTTTCACATAAAATGGATTTGGATGCTCCTCAGAGGTAAAAAAAACAAAACAAAAAAACAACTATGATTTGTTTTGGATTCATTTTGGGTGCACTGATCAATAAAGCTAGCTGCTCTAATCGATTTGGTTTTCAAATAAATTGTGTTTTGTTGCCCAAGTGTGTTGAAAACTATAAAGGACCATCATTCCTCTCACCTATGACACAGCACATTAGAGCCAGTAACGGTGTGTTTGTGTTGAGTGGAGCGACAGTCTGATGTGATTTTGAGGATCAGATGGTCAACTAAACTAGAAATACAGATGGCTTGAACAAGACTGAAAGACTATCAGTTACATGCTTATAATTGCAGTTCTTTGATTGGATTAGTGTAGGGATGAAACAATAAATCTGCAGATTAATCATTAATGAAGTTAATCGTTAGTTGCAATCTTTGTCTGGTTAGCGGGCAACGACAATCCCCTCCTGATAACCAGAGGGAAACATGACCTAACTGTACTGAAAGAAACAGTTATTATTCATCTCCCTTTTCTTCCTGTTTGATATTTCATGCATGAAGCTTTTATGGTGAAACACTTTGTAACTTGTTTTGAAGTGCTATATAAATAAATCTTTACTTAAACTTTTCACACCCTCGTCTCCAATTTAACTTTTTGTTTTGTTTTTCTATCTTGCTTCTCTCTGACAGGATGAGTTATTGGAAGCTCACTTCCCATGTTTTGCTGTGTCATGCTCTGTACACTGATACCAGACAGATGATCTTATTGGTGCTGCAGGGTTGATTTCAGCTTTACTGCCCGACCCTATATATGTTTATACTGTATATGTGTATGTGTGTCAGTGCCAACACTTTGCAGGTACTTAAATATTGATGTATGGAAGTATGAAAGTACAAAGAACTCAAAAATATATGAATGATATTGATTTTTTATCCAGAGAATGTTGTGATAGTGTTGATTTAGTTTCCCTTTTCTCTGTGGCCCAACCACTGCTGGGTGTTGGAAAACGCATTATAACTGTGCGCCACTTGTGATTTTTCCCAGGAGTGTTGCTAGTTTGTGACTTAACAGTTATTTTAATGAAAATCTTCACCAATATTACGTTAACCCCTGCATGTGTGTTTTCATTATTAATGTTGTTCCTCTCTTTTCTTATTAAAAAGGTAAATTCAATAATACTCTTTCTTCCTACTCATGCCGGATACAGTCTGCTGAACCAGCACGCAGCAGGACTACAGTAGGAGCTGAGCTACTACTGGCTGTTTTTCCAGACACTGCCAGCTGGACCCACCACCTTTTTAAACAACGGGCACTCAAGCACTCCCCTGGGAGCAATAATGTGTGTGTTTGTGTGCATAATACTGTGTGTATATGTGTGTGTGTGTCTCTGGCAAACACCCACACAGTGCACTGTGTGTTGCCCTTCTGAAATGTGAGTAATTTGAGAGCCCAAACAGAAGGTACAGTGTGCCTTAAGCAGGTTGACTTTCTTCATCCATCCATTAATTAGGTCTGTGTTTCAGTGCCGAGTCGATGTTATGACTTACGGCAGAAGCCAATGACATAATGCTGCATTATTCATGGGTTTATAATATTTTATTACTTGCAGATTTCTCTGTAATTATGCGTCCAATTTGTCACTGGTTCCACGCAATACCATGCAATTACTATGCATCTAGAGCAAAATGTCTACGCCTGAAAGAAAATGAAGAAGCAATTTCTGTTCTGCCAATTACTCGCATACTTTTAAATGCATTGACGCCATATGTGTTTGCTGATAACAACAGCTACATGAGATGAGCAGAGAATGTTTATTTATGCAATTAAACATATTTATTTATACATTTCAGAGAAACAGTAGTCTGTGTATTGGGATGGATACGCTAGAAAAGATTCACAATCAATATCTAAATATTTCTATGTGTGTTGTTTTGCTTCTCTGTTTTGTAGGGCTAAGCCAGGACAAACATGCCAAACAAACAGCCAACAACTGCCAAGCACTGTTTGCAAGCAGGGAGTGTGAGCTTACAAACCTTGTTTATCTGTCCATGCTCGCACTGACTGACTGACTGACTGACTGACTGATTGACTGACTGTACAGCCGGCAAACACCACTTCATGTTCTCTGAGTCTGACTGATGACGGAATCGCAGTAAGCCAGCACCGAAGACTTCACATGAAAGCTTTTTCAATTCTGATGTGCAAGGTGCGTGATTTGTTCTACTTCTGTGTATGTGTGTAATATAAGCTCCTCGAAGCTGTCAGGATTAACACCTGTGCAACACATACCGAGCTGTGTGACACGCTGTCACAAACATTTGCACGTGCCTAACAGATTTGTCCTTTCTGTCAAACTGTGGTTCATTTTATGGTAGCTAAATGATCAAAGTTGGAGTTAGTAATGCTTCTGTGTCAAAGATCAACTTTTTCTGGCCAGATCCTAAAAACAACGAGGTTTAAACAGCAGATTGTCAAAGGCTCTTCAGAACAATGAAGACTGTATTGTAGGGATGACATTTAGCAGCCAACGGCTGCTGGGGCATTAGATAAGGAATGAGGAAAACCACTGAGACCTAGTGCATGTTTCTTGTGTTGTCTTGTTGTTACTTTTGATTTTCTTTTGCAAGACACTGGCCCTCTGATGAATCTCCCAAAACATAATGTCAATACTAGGATATTCTTGGGAGGATTAAAAAAAAAAGGACTTGGTGCGGTTACTGTTTGCAAAGGATAATCCCATAGATTATTTCAAAGCACTCAAGTTACTACAAAGCCAGATTAATCCATGCTGGAACTGAAACCCATCACTACATACAGCCATAAGGCGATACAAGGTTGTTTTCTGAGGTTAAAAATAAGACTATGAATATCTGAACCCTCATGAATATTACTGCAACAATGACAAGGTGTTGATGAAAAGGACGACCCTTTAAGGTCATAGGTCAAGGACAGAAACATAAATCTGTTGTGTACCTTTAGTCACTGGAACTACTTTCTGCTAACAAAATAGTCCCAGTGAAAACTGTTGACAGTGATGCTTGTTGAGTAACAAGACTGTTTCTGAAAATACATATTGCTGATGAGAGTCAAGTAATTCTTCTAAACAACCAAATTCCATTTACATCCATTGTAATTCATACTTTGCGTAGGGCTGACCCAAATGCTTCGAGGCTTTGACCACATGCCGTTGTAACCGAAAGCCAAATCAGTTTTAGAATGCTTTGTTTTTGTTTTTAAAGCATTATCCACGGCTGGCAACTTCAGAGAAACACTCACTTTGCATCACTGCCTTATCAACCCCTTTATATAAAACATATAAACATAGAAATTGTATTTCTATGCCCTCTCTCACCTGAACCTTGGTTTAGGCAAGGGGTGGTCCCTGGGTAGAGTGTGGAGGAAGAGGAGGAGTACTCATCCATAACGATGACGTTTTAGCATTGATATCAATGTCTGTGTAATGTTGGGTCCATGTCAAAGATTCAAATATTTGTAGGTCATTCTCTTCGAAGCCCCAAAAATGGTATTTGGGAAAACCCTAACGATTTATATGGTTAGACACCTAAAGTAGTGGTGACCCTCTAAGTATCTGTCCTACCATGACTGTGTATGTAGCAATGCAGTATTGAGATCCTCACTAATGCCCTGAACCTTTGCTTGTGCACCACTGTGGAACACATCTGACAAACTGTAACTAGTAATCTCTACCTGGTGCTTTTATAAATCAATCACATGTGAGCAGCTTGGTAATATTTGGTATTACTGCTCACTGCTAAGTGACCTGTGGCACAGGATATACTCACTTCCCAGCAGCGTAGACCTCCGCTGTGTCAAACAGATTGATGCCATTTTCATAGGCCAGAGTCATCAGCTGCTCTGCCATCTGTTGAGAGAGCAGGGGAGAGGGAACAGAGAGGACAGAGGATGGGGTGAGACACTACTGATGTGAGGTGTTAGGATCTTTTCAATTATTAAACTTCCTTCACAAGACTAAAGCTGGCTTTAATGGCTTTGCCTTCCTATAACATGTGTTTATTCTCTGTCTGTTGACTCCCTCTAGCAGTATGTTTTCACTATAGGTAAAAATAGGCTTCTTGAGCAAGATATGCCAGATCATATGGAAGGTTTCCATTTCTGAGCTTTGACTAATGGAAGATGACAAAATCCATCTGCTCTCACCTCATCCGTTATCTGTCCGCCGAACGTCACCCATGTTCCTAGAGAGGACGACAGGGAAGGTGGGGTATAGAGTATAAGTACATAAACACACATGTGCACAGTTGCTGCACACAGTGTAGAAGAAACATGATCTAGCTATGAAAGGGCACAGAGTTTGGCTAATGTATTTGAGCCATGTTATAACTTGTGCAGAGTCACAGGAACTTAAATTTTCACACTTTCTCCCCATTTACAGATTAAGGACCATGGGGTTATAAGTTCCCCTCACAGATCTGTTATACAAAGTTTTTTCTTTGAGGTGCAGCAAACTTCCAAGAGACTCTTACCTAATCCAAGGCAGGACACCCGCAGGCCCGACTTCCCAAGGTTCCTGTCAAAACAGAGAGAATTACATTAACATTAATGCAGCGCTGAGGCGGCAGTGATTTGTGATATTTTGCACTCTGGCGGTGGGTATGACCATTAGAGTAGGACTCATTTTTAACACTGATTGATTGATTGATTGATTGATAGATAAATAAATAAATAAATAAATAAATAATAAATAAATAAATAAACAAGCCTATCACTCTTCTTTAATGTGAGGAAAGTCTGCTTTTCAGGTTCTTACTGCAGTGGAAGCTTACAGTCATGGAAGCTAAGAAGAACGTGGCTTTGTATGGATTTGAACACGGTCTGCATCTACTGCAGCACTGACACAGAGATAGATTGGATGGGTAAGGAAGGACAGTAACACATGCTGACAATGAGAATGTGTGTGTGTGTGTGTGTGCAGTAAAATGTCAGGGGAAAGTCAGAGAGGAAGTGAGTCTTAAGCAGGCCCACCATGACATCCACTGAAATTTTTCGCAGCACACCGGGATCCCTCAGCCGCCATCTGACTAAAATCCCCAACAGCAATGCGAAAGCTTGACTACTCACAACAACTTGCTCCTTAAGCTGCCGTCTCTGAGCCTATCGCAGCCCAGACAGACCCCTCTGCTGACAATCACAGCTTTGGTTGGGTCTTTGATTCTTTTGTGCAAGCTTTTAAACTTCTCTAAAAAGATTGTTCCTAGTTAAAAGGCAACATCGTAACAGATTTCGTTTGAGCACTCAAATAACTTATCTGGTTTAACTAACTGTTAGATTTTTATTTCCAGGAAGAACTTTCCAGCGCATCTCCAGACCTTAATAGTTCTGTTTCTTCAGATATGGCTGATCGAAGAAACGATTAAACACACAAAATGAAGTGCGCTACTTGTGGTCAAGCTCCTTCAAGAGATTAGCTGGCAGTGTAAAAAGATAAAAGAAATTTGGCATCAGAGATGATGTAACATGTGCCGGAGTCAAAGTGAGTGTGTGGGAGGGATATCTAATTTATTTTTATAAGACTGCCTGTATAGAAATACAGTGAAAAGGAATAGAGAGGGAGACAGAGGATAGGTGTGCTATGTGTGTGAGTGTGTGCAGATGTGTGTGTTATATGACTGTGCTTGTGACTGTATGTGTGAGTGGGACTGTGTGTGTGTGTGTGTGTGTGTGTGTGTGTGTGTGTGTGTGTGTGTGTGTGTGTGTGTGTGTGTGTGTGTGTGTGTGTGGGTGTTTTGTGAAGCCATGATAAGATTCCTGAATTGCTGCGGTGACTAACAAAAACACTTCTTTCCATGTGGTCTGAACACCAAGTCCAAAAACACTGCTAAACCGTTTAAAATAAATATGGAAATCTCTACAGGATCACATCCCCTCTAAGTAGGCTAAGTGGGCTACGTTTGTGTTGTAATAAAACAAAAAAAAAGAAGCTTTTCAAATGCCTTAAGTTTCTTTTTGATGTACCTCCTTGTACAGTGCTTTCTATTTTGGAAGAGTTAATCCGGTTAAATGTTCACTACATCATCCAGCATCATTAGTTCCACTCTTTACTTCACTGAACCACCATGGATGCTTGCAGAGGCTCTCCATTGATTTATATTCTTTGTAACTCTAAATATTTAAAAACTGAATAGCACAGAAAAAGTACCTTTTTCTGAGCCATCAGAGGTTTCAGTGCGATGAAGCAATATGGAAAAATAATGAAATCATATCCAGTTTGTGTATTTTGCAAGTAAAGCATGTCAAACTTATTTTCTACAAAAGAGACTCATTAAAAAGATCTTATTTGGTCAGTGAGGTCTGTAATCGTGTTACAGTTTGAATCCGTGAGCCTTGTGACGTCATGTATAGGAGCCTGCTGACTTCTAAGCAAACAGTCAGTCGTGAGGGAGAAGAGACTCTAGTGGGACATCGCGCCCTTACGGTGCACCACAGTTACAAGGTTAACACAAGTACCCTCTGGCGAAATGCTGGAGCTGATCTACAATTAACTGCCTCTTAACTGTGTGAGTAAAACATCCCCTCGGGGGGCTGCTGCTCGGCGTCACGAACAGAGATAACAGAAAACCAAAAAGGAGCTTATTGACTGAAATTGTTAGTGGAGCGTGTTTTTAATGATGGACTGAGACATTTGTTTAATGGTAGTACAAAAAATCTTCTTTACTTCCAATTCTGCTAGACTGCATGCTGTTTTAGTAGTTTGCCTCTAAACGTTCAACACGTCAGAGTGCTACTGTAGTCCATTTCAAACCTTGTATTATTCCAAATGTATCACCTAATGTGATTAAATTATTTGGTGTGGCTTAATATGTTAATACATGGTGCATACGCATGTTCAGCAAACGAGATGCATAGTAAACCTGTCTAATTAGATAAACCAGTAGCAACTGTATACACATGCTTTTAGAGTTGCACCATTTTCATCTGCGTGTGTTAAGGCTTATCACAAAGCTTACAGCCTAAGTGTTGCATAAGCATGCTTTAACTATGACTGCTGCAGCATACGGTACCAGTCCATTTGAAGCACTTCCCCAAACCTAAAAATAAGTAACAAGGATATCAGAATACACAGCTATGCCCTTGCCATTGTTCTCATTGTGAGGATGTCCCCTTTGTCAGCACATTGTTGTGTTCAATATTTTACTAGACTGGCCTTTAATACTGCATTGTGCGTTGCTGCAGTGACCCTCTGTCAGGGCCTGTAAGCAGGCAGGGGTCAGGTTCCCGCTGAGCCTCAGCAGACATGAACCACCACAACAGTAAAGTCATCTCTCTCACACCCTCCTCAATAATGAAAGAAACAGGTACAGTACAGGACAGCAACACCACTGCAGCCACAGGCTCAAAGCCAGACGACATTCAGTGAACAGGACATAGACACCATAGCACCATGTCCAGTTGGGTTGTTTACTTTGAAATACTAGGTAACCTTTCACTGAGGTTTCTATTAACAGCTGCCTTCTGATCACATTAGCCTGAAGCACAAGTGGTATGTTCGTTTATTTGATTAAGGGTGGCTTGGATATCTTTTTGGGGCTGGTTCACAGGTTTCATTACACTTTAGCCTGACATAATGGATCCTGCATGTCTAAGTCAATCATTCAGCTCTGCAGCTGACCTTGGCAGCACTGATGGAAGGTGACCCGTGGAAATTAGTGCAGATGGAGAGGGCAACATAAGGCAGGGGAAATATCAGGTCACCTCAGAGTCTCTTTCAGACATTTATTATTGATTATTGGATTGCTGATTATTGGATTGTTGTCTCTAGACAAATATGTCTTTAAAAAGAAAATGAAATAGTAAAGAGAAAGATTTGTAATAGTTGGACATTGACACGAGGAAGAAAATTCACTTGGTGAACATTAATGTTCATTGTTCAGCCACTGCCAAGCCTACTGATAGCAGAGCTATTGTACCTCTATATTCTTGCCTATAGTTAATAATATTTAATCCATAAATGCATGGTTCATCTTGTCAATATGGCATCCATTTTTTGTATTTATGCGATTCCCTAAAACCCCATGTTCCCCTGAACAATGTGATGAAAACAAATTTGTCTTTTGACCACATTATATAAAATACCTAATGACACACTAATAGAAGATACGCTGTGGTGATTATTACAACAATAAAATTGTAAGAGTTGACTTCTGAGGTAAAAAGAAGGAAGTCAAAATATTGAAATAGGAACTCCTGAAAGGCAACAGCAAATTAATTTCAGCCTACATAATGAAACTTAACACAAACCACAAAATACTAACCTGCTAAAGACACACCTTCTGTCCCATCAAAAACAATTCTGAGCAAATCCTTGAGAGTTTGTGAGTTCAGTCTACCACTGTACCCACAGGGCAACAAATAAATACCTATAATGTCAAATATGTGTTTAAAACCTATGGTTGATAATAGAAAGGGATTGTTATCAACGTAGGAGCAGGTCTACATCAATTGTTTACTGATTCAAAGGTCTATACAGATACTGGTTAAGGATTAGTAAGGTGTCAGAGTGGAGCATCAGGAAGGCATGAAGTCAGCAGACTGAGAGGGCTTAAAGTCAATGTGAAGCCAGTGGACAGGACAGGACAGGACGGGGTGATGAATGAGGAAACAAGGTCACAGAGCTGTAAAGAGGAACGTGTTGAGAGATATGTTCACTGAGCAGAACTATTAATACAACCAAACCCGTGGCTTCAACTTCAGAAAAACACACACGTCGAATGCCACTACTGTAACTCATGTTGGCTGCAGGTGGTTTCCTCCTCCATTCAGGTTTATGTAACATCCATTTCACTTTAAGGAGAGGAGAGAGGGAGAGAATTTAGATATTAGACAGAAATGCCTTGACTAGGCAGTAAGAAAGAGGAGCAATAGGGTGAGCCAATTTGATCTGAAAAGCTGCTTATAAACATTTGCCCAAAAATAAAAATGTCTCCTTCGTCAGCATCTCTGTGTCAACTGAACCTTGATAAGCATACAGTATGCTAGCTTTATTTATCCAATTATCTTCTATTCAGCTCATTGGTATGAAACATGAATGGTTGTGCGCTTCATTGTGCACATCCTACAGCATTCTACCATGAGACTCTGTTCACTTGCTGCCAGCTGGATGACCTTTTTTTGTAACTCAAAACAAAGACTCAACTCTTGTTTCAGACAAAGCCCAAGATGGATTTGCGGGGGTGAGTTGTGACTAGAGGTGCACGAATAAAGCCTTTTTTTTTTTTAAGTTAAACTGTTAAAAAGAATAGTTTGACAGTTTGGAAAACATGTCAATCTGTTTTCTTGCCAATAGTAAGATGAGAAAGTTGATGACAAGGTACGATGCTAGAGCCAGGCAACAATAAGCTAAGAACAGCATAAAGACTGTAAGCAGGAGGAAATGGCTAGTCTAGCTATGTCCAAACTAGATTAAAAAAATGCTGTATTTCGTTTACTTAATCCATACATAAACAAAACTGACAAATTGTGATTTTTCACGGAGTTACACAAAGCCAGGCAGGCTTTTTCCCCTATTTCTAA